ATATTTAATTAAAGGCGTACGTTAATAATAGCTAGGTTGCTTTTTGCTTATTTAGAGATTGCTTTTTTTATAAATAAATTAAATATAAAAAATAATATAATATATAAAATACAGTTTATATATAAATAAGCTTATAAATTAGAAAATAAATACTTTAATTAATCCGGTTAAATATAATAATAAGGTAAATATAAGTATAATAAAAATAGAGACTATACTTTATTATCGGAAAAGACGCTTTCCGAGGTAATAAAGTAATATTTTTATAATACTTTAAGAGATCTCGAAGCAAATATTTGGGAAATAAAGGCTTTCGTTTATTAGAAGATAATAAATAGGAGGGGCAAAATAAGTCTTTATAAAAATAAATTATAATAAAAATAAAAACCTGTTAATAATTAATATTAATTAAAAAAAATATATTATTATTATACTTATTAATTTAAAAATTAAAATAAACTTAATTTTATTAAAATTAATTAAAAAATAAAATATTTCCTAAATAATAAAAATAAAATTATATTTAATAAAAGATTTTAAAGGAAAAAAATCCAATTATAAAGACGGCTAAATCCGACAAAAGACGGAACTTTTTAATATTAGAATTAATAAGAACTATTAATAAATAGTTTTTAATATTACAAAATTAAGCATATATAAGATATTTTTTAATTATTTATAATTAAAAATATTTAATTTTATAATTAATTAGAATAATAACTATATAAGTTTAAAGGAGACTAATTTAACTTAAAAATTAAATTTAAAGAAAGAATTAACGGGAAATTATTTTAATTTTTTTAAATATAATATATTATTATAATTAATAATAATTATTAAGAAAGTAGAATAAAAAGAAATAAATAATTTAATAAAATCTAATATTTTTCTAAAATATTAATAATATAATATTTTTTAAAAAGAATTAAAAAATAAATTACCTAATTATAATTTATAAAATTATAAAATTAAATTTAAAAAAAGAGCTTAATTTTATTATTAAAAAATATATTTTTTTAATTTAATATAATAAAAAGTGTTAAAAAAATATCTTATAAAAAATTTATAAAAGGGATATATTTAGGAATTATAATTATTAATAGGATATTTTATTTTATTTATATTTAAAAAAAATAAGAAATTAAAATTATATGTAAATTACTAATATTTAAATAAAAATATTATTAAAAATTAATACCCTTTATTTTTAATTAATAATTTGAAAAAAAGATTAAATAAAGTTAAATAATTTATTAAATTGGATTTTATAATTATTTATATTTAAATTAAAATTAAAGAAAAAGACAAATAAAAAATAATATTTTATTATTTTTTTAACTATTACGAATATTTCATTATATTATTTAAACTTATAAATATATTAATTATTTAATAATTTATAATTAATTATATTTTATAAAAATTTATTAAAAATTTTATAGAGGTTTATTTAAATAATATTTTAATTTATTTTTTATTGGAAAAAAAATATTAGTAATAAATATATAAGGTTTTAAAAACCTTATAAAAATATAAACTTTAAGTAAATTCCGAAAAAAGCGAATTTTACTATTAAAAAGTGGATTTCCTAGGGTATAAAATTATATTTAAAAAGGTTTAGATAGACTTTATAAAAGTATAAAATATTTAAAAATAATTAATCCTAATAATAATTATATAAATTAAAAGCTTTTTAAATTTTATTAATTTTTATTAATATTTTATCCGAAAATTTAAATAAATTATAAAACCTTTTAATAAATTAATTAAAAAAAATATTTATTTAAAATAAATAAAAATAATAAGTTTTAAATAAGCTAAAAAAGTTCGTATTAACAAACCTAATATTAAAACTTTTAAACCCGGATAAAAAATTTAAAGTCAAAATTAATACTTTTAATTATATATTAAAAAATATATTTAATTAATAAAATAAAAAAAGACAATTATATTTAATAATCTTTTTTTTTAATAATTAAAAAGGGTAAAATTTAATTACCCTATTTACAATAAAGAATTAATATTAATTATTTAAATATTTAAAAAATAGAAACTGTATTTAAGCAAAATAAATTATTAAATTAAAATTTTAATAAATTATAAAAACCTAATCTATTTTATTTTAATAAAAGAATTTAATTAAAAATAAATAAAATAATTAAAATTTTTATTATAATTTAATTTTAAAATCTTTTATTAAAAAGATTTAGAAAACGTTAGGGTAAATATATTAAATCGTAAAGAAAACTTTTATTTAGATAAAAAATGAAAATAATAAGAGATTTTAATAAAAGTTTAAAATAGAACCTTAACGTTCCGGCCCTATAAGGCTATAAAAGTTAATACCCTATTTTTAATAAAATTAGATAATTAATAGCGAAAAGCTATCCAAAAAACGGAGTTTAAAACTTAATTAAAAAGATATATTTTAAATAATACGGGATATTAAACGCTTTATAAAAAGCTTTTTATATTAAAGGCGTTTAAAAAAGCCCTAATTAAAGATATTTATATATTATTTATTAGAGGATATTAGGGGATTATTTAAATAATAGCGAAGTTATATTAATATTTTAAATTTTTTAAATTAAAAAAAATAATTAAATTAATAATTAATAAGTATAAAACTTATATGTAAAATAAGGGTATACCATATAAACCTTTTAATTTATTAAAACTATTATTTATAATAGAAAGGGCTTAAAGATTAATCTTTATAGACTTTATTATAAAATTCCTATTTTTAAGGGATTTAGTTACTAGTACGATTTATAATAATATTTTAATAATTATAAATTAATTAATTAAATATTATTATTTTTTATTATTTTAAGAATTAAATACGGTGGAATAATTAATATATACGTTTTTACGGATGATAATTAATAATTATATATAGCCCGATAAAATATATTTTTTATATTTAAATTTTAATAGATATTAATAAAATAAATAAGTATTAAATATAAATTTTTAACGGCTTACCGTTTGTAAATAAATAAATAAATAAAATAAATAAACTAAATAGTAAAATAATATTTAAAAATATTTCTTAATTATAAATAAGATAATTGGGTAGAATTATTACTAATAATATAGCTTTCTTATAATATCTTAAGGTCGGAAATAATAGGAATTTTACTATTTTTTGTAAATTACAGCTTTAAAGCTAAAATATATTAAAATATAGGAAATTAATCCCCTAAAGCTAAAATATTAGTAAAAAAGTTCCGAACACTATATAATATATTATGTAATAATTTTTTTTTTATCTAAAAACGTATAAGCACCTATTATAATAAAAAGAAATTAAAAAAACTAATTTTTTAGGAAAGGAATAAAGTTTATTTTTTAAAAAAAAATATTAAAATAAAATAATTTAATAATAAATTAGATTTTAAAAAATTAAAGCCCTTTTAAATTATAAAAAAGATTTTTATTTTAAATTATTAATTATTATTACCTAAATTTATAAAAATTTACCCTATTTTTTATATTTTTTTATTAAAATTAATATTAGTAAAAATAAAGTTAGATATTATGGTAAAAGTAGACCTTATAAAAAAAGAGTATATAATAAAAAAGATCCTAGATTTTTAATAAATTGGAAGGAAAAAAGTAGAATATTTAATTAAATAGGAAGATTATAAATATAAGGAAAATATATAAGAATCCTTTAAATACTTGTAGAATTACCCCGAGAAATTTTAATAATTTTATTAATAAAACCCGGATTGGCCGGGGCCGTAAAAGTCTAGGAAAAGTCGGCTAGTAAAGGGTCTAATTAGGAAAACGAAGGGGAAAGGGTAGCCGCTTAAGCGGAACGTTTTTTTTCGATTTGTTGAAACCTATATTAAAAAAGCCTTTCAGCGCGGTTTTAAACGGCGTATTTCCTTTTTCGTAGTATAAAAAAGCGATTAAGGAGCGTTTCTTTTTTTTTTTCAATTAATTTTATTTTATTAATATTATAAATAATTATAAGGGTAAATAAATATAGGAGTAAAAGGGCAGATCGGCATTTATACGAAAAAGTAAAATTATTATTATTATAGGATATTTTACGCTCAATATATTCGCTATAGTATTTAAAACCGTTAATAAAAAAATAAATATTTTCGTAGCGGAAATAATTAGAATAAAATATTAAATAAGAACTATTAAAATTAGATACAAAATAAGTTAAAGCTATATTAACTATTTTCTTTTATTACGAGTATAAAATATAAAATTTAAAGATTTTATATATATTAATATTAGTAAAAATCTTTAATAAATAAAAAGGGAAATTAATATTTATTAAAATATAATTATTATAATAAAATTAGGCGTTTAAAACTAAGCTTTTAGGACGAAAATTAAAAGGGAGGGGTATTATATTATAAATTTAAAAGGGTTTTATTTAAAGTAGGAAAAAGGGGCGCTTATATTAAAGGATTATTAATAAACTATTTAAAAATAAACAAATTAGGACGGATTTAAAAAATTTAAAGATTGGGACTAATAGGTCCAAACTTAAAAGACCCAAAAATCGGGTTTAACGGGTTTAAGTGGAGGACCCGAATTTTAAATCCTTTAAGTCTTAAAATAAACTTGCGGTAAAATGCTTTCGGGTCTATTTTTTTTCTTCTTTATATAATAAATAAGGTTTAACAATATTAAATTTTAAATTAATAATTAATATAAATTTTTAAACATATATTATATAATTTTTAAAAATAATTATTTATTTATCCAATTACTTATACCCTTTTATACTTACTTTTTTAACCTTTATCGTTTTAAAGAACCTTTAATTCTTAGGATTGTAATAATATAAAGTAAAATAACTAATAATAAATATTATTTAATAAAATTAATTAAACTAAAATTAATTATTTTATTATTATTATTTATACCTTTAACATTAATATTATAAAGATTATATATAGTATAAAAAAAAAGAGGCAAGATTTATTAATAGGAGATATTAAATAGATCTTAGTCTATTATAGCAAAAAGGCGGGTCTGGCCGGGGATTAAACCCGGGACCTCTCGCAATAATGTTTAGGGTATACCCTAAGCGAGAATCATACCGCTAGACCACCAAACCATTAAATATTAAGTGGAGCTTAATTTTTATTTGATAGCAATTTAAGTAATAAAGATTATATATATTATAAGCATATAAAAAAAAAGTCGAAAGATAGAAATTAAAAATTATATTTTATGTTAATATTTTTTTTTAAATTATTGTAAAATATACGTTTAATTATTATTTTTTAACAATTTTATATTTTATTATAATAAAAAAAAGATAAAAAATTTACTTTTATATAAAATAAGCGTTTTAAAATTTATATATTTATAATTATAAAATTATTGTAAAAATAAATCCGTAATTACAAGCTAGCAATTACCCTTTATATTATTATATAACCCTTAGAGCGCACTATAAGCTAGCTTTAAAAGCTCTAACCTAGTCCATTTATAATGGCGGCATACTAATTAGATTTTTACACCCCCTAGTCTTTGGAAAGCGGCTTTAATAAAGCTCGAACTTAAACCTCTAAGAAAATAATAAGGGCGTAACCGCTCGATTAAAGGATATAAAAACAAGGGCTTATAACTATTATAAAAATAGATCCGTAATTATAAGCTAACAATTACCCCTCATATTGTTATAAAAATATAATAAATAATATATATATTAATATTTTATTTTATAATATTATATTATTATATTTTTAAGGTTTAATATATAATATTAAAAATTATATAATTAAAAGGTTAATATAATTAAATAATTTATATTTAAAAATATTAAAGTGCTAATTTAATTATAAATCTTATTATTTTACTTATTATTATATTATTAACGTAAACTTATTAATATTTATATAAGTGGATTATACAGAAAATTATTTACAATTAGAAATACTTATATATACTCGCTTATTAGCGCGTATATTTAATGATAATATATAGCTTTTACTTTAATATAAAGATTTAGCTTTTATTTTACTTTTTTTACAAACCTTTCTTTATATAATAACGCTAAACTAATATTATAATCTCATTTAAACTAAATTAACTAAATTATAATGATTATATTTATAATATTAAATTATACTTTCTTTATAAGAAGATCCCAATAATTATGTTTTACGCTTTTTACAACTTATGTAAAATAAGTGGAATACTTTTAAATAAAGCCTACATTTAGATTAAAAGATAAAAAGAGGGCTATTATAAACTATAATAATAATAATAATTAATAAAGGAAGCTATTTTTAATAAATTATAATATAATAAACTATTTTATCTTTACTTTTAATATTGTTAAATTTGTAAGAGTTGTTTATACGGGTTATATAAGTATTCTAGCTTAAAATCACCGCTTTTTCTTTATTATTATTATTAATCTTCTTAAGCTAAAGCAATTAAGATTATTATTAGTAAATTTTAAACATAGTTTTTCTTTTTTTTTTATTTATAATAATATATTAAAGCTACTTGTTAAAACTCGTTTAACTTTATTAATATTTCCGTAAAGGTTTATCTTTATTAATAAAGACCTTATAATTAATAAAGCCAGCTAGTTATATTGCTATGGTAATAGTTTATCTTTTATAGTTTTAAAATAATTATAAAGCGATTTTATTATTTTAAAAAGAGCTTTAAATTTATATTTTATACAATATTATACGTAAAACATAAAATTAGAGTTTTACAAATATATAATGTTAGTTAACTTAATAAAATTAGATAAATTGTTCATTTATTAAATAATTTAAGAAAAGAAATTCCTTATAAGATTTCGTTTAAAACGAAAAAATGGAAAGGAAAGATATAGCCCTTATTTATATTTTTTTTTTACAAAGTAATTATCCGCCAAGTTTTAATAACAATATACGAAATTATTTTCGATTTTGGAGATTATTTACTTATAATATTAATTTCCATTTATTGTTATAATTTATACTTATAAAGAAAGCCTAAAATTGTTGTAAATAATTTATTAATTAAGAAAATTAAATATTATTATAAATTTTAACTATTATTTTAATTTTTATAAATAATATAAATTACTTTATTAGTACTTATAATTAATAGTTGGGACGGATAATAATAGTGGGCCAAATAAATATAAATAGCGTTTTAGTAATAATAACTATTATAAACCTTTAGCGTCGCTATTAAATTATTAATTTTAAAATATACAATTTTATAAGCCGAAATATTCAAGGTTATTATGCATTTTTAATAGGTCATCGCTATACAACGTAAATTATTACATTTAGTTTGTTAAATTTAATTAAATTATATTTTATTTAATACAATACGAATTCCATACTTTTTTAAGAAGGAAAAAAGCTTTAAATTACTATATAAACTAATAAAATATAAATTATAACTTATTATTTACAGTTAATTTAATAGAATTTAAAATGAAAGTAAAGAAAAAGAAAGAAAGAATTTATACGCTTTTGCCTTAGCTTTTTTATAAGGTATATTATAATTATATAAAGTTATATATATATTAATTATTATTAAAATTAATAAATTATAATGCGGGATTATATATTTTAATGTGGCATTAAAGGTTTTATACGAGTACTTTACTAGTTATATATACGCTAGTAAGTTATACGCCATAATATATCGTATTAATATTAGTAACTAATATAAAACCTTTTAATTTTTTTTTATTTTTTTTAAAATATTATTAATATAAATATTTATAAAAATATTAAAGAAATAAATCTCGTTTTAGTTTTTTATAATATTATAAGTTTTAAAGCTAAGAGTTATTATCCCTCTCCTAACTACTAGCCCGTACAAATATAATATAAGCGTCCAGCTCTTTTTACTCGTCTTTAACGCTATTAGCGTGGACGAAAAACGAAGCCTCTTCTTATCGCGCAATTTTATAGGGAAGAGCGTGCACGGTATAGGCAAAGCTTTATCTTACTTCCTCAAACCCTTATAGCGATGTTCCTTTTGTAGGTGTAAGTACTTTCCCGCCAAGCCAATTATATTTTTCCAACTGGCTAATTAGAATATACCCTATATTCGCATCGCCGAAGGGTTTAAAAACGTTCGGGCCATTATTGCCTCTACGGTTACCTTTTCTATACCTTATTATATATTATAGACTAAATATTATTTAAATAAAACATATAAAAATACTATTATATAATAATTATTATAAAAAGCTTATTTTAATTTTTATAGAATTTTAAAATTATTCTTTAGAATATAAAAATAGATTTTATTATTTTATATTATATATAAAATTTGTATTTTTGCTTGCATCGGAGCGAATAATAGCCCAAAATAAGAATAAGCTGTAAATATAGATTCTATATAAAATTCTGATTCTAATGATATATGTATTACCTAATTTGGATTAATCTATATTAAAATAAATAAAATATTTTAAAAAGAAAAAAAGAAAAAGGAAAAAATATACTCTTTTTTTGCTTGCATCGGAGCGAATATTAGCCCAAATTAAAAACGAATTATATATATGGATTTTATATAAGATTTCAATTCTAATGGTATATATATTGCCTAATTTGAATTAGTCTATATTAAAATAAGTAAAATAATTCAAAAAAAAAAGAAAAGGAAAAAAGTTAAAATAAACTCCTTTTTACTTACATCTAGCCGAATAATAAGCCAAATTAAAAACAGGGTTTGGGTTTATAATCTAGGCATATAGACCATACTTAGCATATATATACTTCCCAATTTGGACTAGCGTAGCAAAAGTAATATAGGAGTGATCAAAAGAAAAAAAGAAGAAAAAGTAGAAAAAATCTCTTTTTAAGTTGTATTTTAGCCAATATTAGAGCTAATCCAAATCGGAAAATAATTTTAAAATCTATATAAAATAACTATCCTCAAAAGCCATTGTTAATACAGGAAAATATTATTCCTTTATTTTATTATTTTATATAATAAATTGAAAAAAATTGAAAAAAATAAAATTTATTTTACTTTAAGCTTCCAACTTTACCAATTTCATAGATAATTAAAATCTAATTTTGGATTTGAAATCTTGGGATTTAGATAATCCTTAGCATATATTTACTTTCTATTTTAGTTTAGTTTAGCCTTAAATATTTAGAAGTGATTAAAATAATTAAATAAATTAAAAATTTTTACGACGTTAAATATTAAAATCTTCTAAACGTTTATAAACTCTTTTTAGAGCAAAATTGCCTAAACTTATAAATATTTAAATATGTACGGCCTAAGTATAGGGTATAAATAAGGTACCCTTAGTTTTTTATAGTTTTTATTTAGCTTTTGCTTTAAAAAGAATGTTACGAGTCTTAGAGGGTTTTGCTTAAAGTAGGAAAAAAGGGCACCTAAGTTGGGAAGACCACTTACGGGTTATTTGAAGATAGGTAAATTAAAACAGACTTAAAAAACTTAAAAATTAAGACTAACGGGTCCGGACCTAAAAGACCTAAAGGTTGGGTTTAATAGATCCTAACGAAAGACCCGGGGCTTAGGTTTTTTAAGTTTTAAAATAAATTTAAAGCAAAACATTTTTAAGTTTACCTTTTTTTTTTATATAAATAAATAAAGAATTAATAATATTAAGCCCTAATTTAATAATTAATATAAATTCTTAAATATATATTATATAATCTTTAAAAATAACTATTTATTTATTTAATTACCTACACTCCTTTATACTTACTTTTTTAATTTTTACTATTTTAAAAAACCTTTAATTTTTAAAATTGTAATATATTAATTATTTATTTAAATATAAGCTAATATATTAAATAAATACTATATTAATTATTTCGAAAATAACCCCTATTATCTCTACTATACCGGCTATACTTATTGTAGTATAATTAAATAATTATATTATCTATTTTTAAAATAAATTTATAAAGTTCGAATAAAATACGAAAGCCTCGTACAAAGTCTTCACCACAAAGGTTAAAAAACTATAAAAATCGAATAAAACGTTTTATAAGGTTAATTAAACCCTTTAAACTATTATTGGGTTAAAAAATAAAAGAGCTAAAAAAATTAAAATCTATCTTCCGCTTATTTTTAGCGGAAAAAAAGGGGAATTGGAAG